GTAGTCCCAGCTACTCGGGAGGCTGAGGCAGGAGAATGGCATGAACCCGGGAGGCGGAGCTTGCAGTGAGCTGAGATCCGGCCCCTGCACTCCAGCCTGGGCGACAGAGCGAGACTCCGTCTCAAAAAAAAAAAAAAAAAGAATATAGACTTTTTAGAGTTGTGTGAATTTGTAATACAGATGCCACTAGCTCAATTTTCCTAGTATATTTACTGTAAACATTTTCCTAGTGTGTGGTTTTTCATTTTTAATGCCAGGCATGTTACCATGGGTGTAGTTTTCTGTTCTTTGGCGAGTGAGCATATGCTTGTGGAAGGGCCTTGGGTTTCTGATCCAATCTTGATGCCTCAGCCAGGGGGACCCACCGGAGAGTGGGGGCCTTGACCAGGGACGCAGCTGGTGAGGGGAGACTCCAACCGGCCACTCCTTACTCTCCAGCTCCCTGAGCCGAAGCCACTGCCTTCTGAGCTCATCAGAGCCCTTGTTGCTGTCCTGGCGTGGAAAGTTCTTCTGAGCTGAGGTTTATGCTTCTCTCTTCCGGACTGAGGCTTGTCTTGTGGGGCTCCCCTGAACATGCCCATCACCATGCTGGTGACTGGGAGCCAGCCTTTTTCTTTTCTGACTCAGGGTATTTAAAAATACCCCAGGCTGGAGAATTTGGAGGAATCCATCATCGACGGGTGAGCATTAAGCTCTTAAGAGGCAGAAAAGGCCATTCTGCTATTGAATTGTCCTCTGAAGATGCAGTCAGTTCAGCAGTTTCACAGCCACCTCACTGGCAGGCATTGTCCTAGATGTTTGGGGCCTAACGGACAGGGCTGAGGTTAGAGGTATGCTGTGCTCCGAGGGACTGACTGTCAAGACGGTGTCTCCTTCCCGCTTAGCTGTCTGCCTCTGTACTGGTGAGGAAGGTTCCCCGGGACCTCTTGAACCAGCAGCCAGGAGACCTGGATTAGAAGCGAAGATTTGAATCCCAGCTCTGCCACCCTGTGACCTGCGTAGCCAACACCCCTGACCCTGTGAGCGTGTTCACATTCGGGTCTGTTCTTTCCTTCAGCAAGCACACAACACACACGTATGTAGTCAGGAGTCCTCGCTGGGCACAGCATGGCTGCAGCGGTGCCAGACATGGTCCCTCTGGAGGGGCGTATGCTTTATGGGTAAACGGAAATATTGGTGTCTGTCAGTAAAGCAAGCAGAATGATAAATTAGGCTGAATACGTTGCTGGAGCCCACAGAGGAGTCATTCATTCATTTTGAATAGGAGCAGAGTAGAGCTTTTCAGAAGACGTGGCCAAGGCAGAGCCTTGAGCGGTGAATAGAACTCCAGGGTAGGAATGGTGGAGGAAAAAGGAGGGGAATGGAGAAGGGAGAGGGCTGCCCAGCCTGAGGAGCCCAGGGGTGTGTCGTTGTCCAGGGCGGCTGCTGTGCCGGGAGAGGGGACAAGTCCAGATGGCAAATGTTGTGCTTAGCAACCATCGTAGGGTTTGAGAAGGATGCTGAGAGGGGATAGACCTCTGACAGCCTGGGAACGTTCTGGATGAGAACAGGGCTAAGGAAGGAGGCCGGAGCCAGGAGGTGAGGTGTCTGTTGCTCAGCAGGGAGGTTCTTCCGTAGCCACCAGTTCCAGTGACAGCGAGCGGGCAGGTGGATTGTTCCTTGTGATCCTCTATTTCCAGCCCAGGATGGACCTTTTCTGTCCTGGTGATGGGCTCAGTCTTGGGGCTAGAGCAGGAAGGAGGCCAGCAGAGGCAGTGCCCTGACAGTCTGTTTGCAGAACTTGGAGAAATCCTGATGTCAGTGTTTATTTGTTCATTCATTTAACAAGTATTTATCGAGGGCCTACCGTGTACCAGGTTTTGAACAGTAAAGTGGACGGTAGGAAGATGATGGGGAAGAGGCACCCCAAATTCCGGAAGAGCAGAGATTCTTCTCTTTCCGGGGAGTGTGTGATCTGGGTCTGGATTCTGGTGAGGAATGGCGTTAATGTCTGTGTCTGTGTTTCCATTCTAGATGCTGTAGGGCCAGGTGAGCTGCTGCGAAGGACTCATTCTTGGTGGCCAGCAGTTACCGGCAACTTGTGAGCTTGGTGGGCTCCTACTAACACACCTGGGACGCCAGGCTGCGGGCTCCCCTCCAGGCAGCCTCCCCAGCAGCTCCCCAGAGCCATGGAGGCCCCGGAGGTCCCCGTGGGCTCGCTAATCGACTTTGGGCCTGAGGCACCCACCTCCTCTCCCCTAGAGGCACCACCCCCTGCACTGCAGGACGGGGATGGCTCCCTGGGGGATGGCGCATCAGAGAGTGAGACCACTGAGTCTGCGGACAGTGAGAATGACATGGGCGAGTCACCCTCACACCCGTCCTGGGACCAGGACCGCCGCTCCTCCTCCAACGAGTCCTTCTCCTCCAGCCAGAGCACCGAGTCTACCCAGGATGAAGAGACCCTGGCTCTCAGGGACTTCATGCGTGGCTACGTGGAGAAGATCTTCTCTGGAGGGTAAGGGGCCTGTGTGGACAAGACAGCCTGGCATGGCCACAGGGCCCAAGGGGACCCGCCTTCTGCTCTTGGCTCTGCCTCTCCCCAGGGTGCCACCTGGGGCCAGAGCTTCCATTTCCTCATCAGCCAGGGATGGCCACTGCAGGGGCCTCCCTCCACTCCAGCCTGCATGCAGAGCCACATGGGGACCTTTTAAAGAGTACCCGAGTCTGGACTTCACTCCAGACCAATTACATCAGTTCTCTAGGGTGAGGCCGGCGTCAAAGCATGTGCGGCTCCCAGGTGATTTGGAAGGGCAAACGTGCGGAGAACCCCTGGAGGGACGCGCTCCGGAGTACTCGGCTCACAGGTCCCCATCATCCCCATGAGCTCCATTATTTTCTTTTCGTTTGTTTTCTTTCTTTCTTTCTTTTTTTTTTTTTTGAGACCGAGTCTGGGTCTGTTACCCAGGCTGGAGTGCACTGGTGCAATCTCAGCTTAATGCAAGCTCTGCCTCCCAGGTTCAAGTGATTCTCCTGTCTCAGCCTCCCAAGTAGCTGGGATTACAGGCACCTGCCACCACACCCGGCTAATTTTTGTGTTTTTAATAGAGACAGGGTTTCACCATGTTGGCCAGGCTGCTCTCGAACTCCTGGTCTCATGTGATCTGCCCGTCCCAGCCTCCCAAAGCGCTGGGGTTATAAGCGTGAGCCACCGTGCCTGGCAGAGCTCTGTTATTTTCCAATGCATGTTGTTCCCGAATTTTATCCATGCAATTCTTAAGCAAGGCTTTGGAGGGGGCTGTCTCTTTCCTCTCACTCCGCCGACACCTGTCTCACCTCATCGTTGCTAAACACAAGGGGCACTTGTTCTGTTTCTGGGACCATCTGAGCATTTGTAGGCTCACCACTCCCTAGCGCTCCTTGTCACAGCTATAGTTGGCTAAGAGGTTGCAATTATTCACTGAAATTAGATATAGGGGCAAGATAAGATAATAAAGCTGTGGTTACCCATACTGGTGTGCTCATAAGAAGCAGATTCTTTTTTTTAGAGACAGGGCCTTACTCTGTTGCCCAGGCTGGAGTGCAGTGACACAATCACGGCTCACTGCAGCCTCCACTTCCTGGGCTCAAGCAGTCTTCCCACCACAGCCTCCCGAGTAGCTGGGACTATAGGTACACGCCGCCATGCCCTGCTAATTTTTTTTTTTTTCCTTTTGGAGACAAGGTCTCACTCTGTCACCCAGGCTTGAGTGCAGTGGTGCAGTCATAGCTCACCACAGCCTCAAACTCCTGGCCTCAAGCAGTCCTCCTGCCACGACCTTCCAAAGTGCTGACCCTGGCCAGCAGCTGATTCTGAAGCAGCTGTTTGCATGGGGCCCTTCCCTGGATGGCTGTTCTTTTGTGGTTCTTAAGGGTAAAATAATGAGTGTTGACAATTGGAGCAGCAGGAAGGGAGAGTTTGGGGCCGTGACGTCCACTGAGAAGCGGGAATCTGTGCATCGGCCTGATGTTTCCCTACCCCAGTTCACTGCCTGTTAATATCTCAGCCAGGGAAAGGAGGATGCACACACACCCCAGAGCCATGGGGTTCACGTGTGGATTGTGGCTCTTCCACCATTCACGGCAGCACACTAGATACGGATGGTCTTGCTGCTCTGTCATGTGTGGGCTGGCAGCATTGGCATCTCCTGGGAGCTTGTGAGAAATGCGGAGTCTTGAGCCCTGGCTGGCCCCTCTGAGTGAGAACGTGCCCTTTAACAAGATCAGTAGACAGCTCATGCACATCTGCGTCTGAGAGGCACTGCCTTAAGGGAAAGTTTTCCAGTTTCATTAACGCAGTTAGGATTTGTGGCCAGGCTCAGTGGCTTACACCTGTATTCCCAACATTTTGGGAAGCTGAGGCAGGAGGATCGCTTGAGCCCAGGAGTTTGAGACCAGCCTAGGAAACATAGTGAAACTCTACAAAAAAACACGCAAAAATTAGCCAGGCATGGTGGCATGTGCCCATAGTCCCAGCTACTCAGGAGGCTGAGGTGGGAGGATCACTTGAACCAGGGAGGCTTAGGTTGCAGTGAGCCATGATCGTACCACTGCACTCCAGCCTGGGTGACAAATGGAGACCCTGTCTCAAGAAAAAAAAGAAAAAGAAAAAGAAAAAGAAATGTTGCCTTTTACTCTGCAGAGCCCATTGTTTCCACCGTGATTTGAGCCCCACGTGTGTAAACTCTCAAGGGCTGACTTCTGCCTTTTTGATGGGTGCTTCTCAATTGGTGGAGACCAGCCTCAGTTTTCTGTGTGGTTAGAAAAGGGAACCGTTGTATGATAATCCACATACCTGACCATCTAAAAATGCATTTATGGGCTGGGTGCAGGGGCTCACACCTGTAATCCCAGCACTTTGGGAGACAAGGCGGGCACATCAGCTAAGGCCAGCAGTTTGAGACCAGCCTAGCTAACATGACGAAACCCCATCTCTACTAAAAACACAAAAATTAGCTGGGCTTGGTGGCGGGTGCCTGTAATCCCAGCTATTTAGGAGGCTGAGGCAGGAAAATCACTTGAACCCAGGAGGCAGAGGTTGCAGTGAGCTGAGATTGCACCACTGTACTCCAGCCTAGGCAAGACAGAGCGAGACTCCGTCTCAAAAAAAAAAAATTAATACATAAAAATGCATTTATGTTTGATTTGAGTGCATTTTAGGAGAGCAGATGTAGCTTCCTACTTGTTTTGTTTGACCAGCACTGAGATGGGTACGCTTCCTTTTTTTTTTTTTTTTTTTTTTTTTTTTTTGAGACGGAGTCTCGCTCTGTCGCCCAGGCTGGAGTGCAGTGGCCGGATCTCAG